TCAATTTTAGCAAATTCCCAGATGATACAGATGTGATCTAAGAACACCCTGTGAAAGATATATTTATAGGAGAAACCTCTGACTTAAGTAATTTCCTCCTGGGAGGGAAAGAGAATGGATACTTATTGGGCATGTAGTATTCTCCATTGGATGTATGAGGTACTTTGCATACATATATTATTTAAATTTCATAATAATTCTTTGTTATATGATTCTATTAATTCTGTATCACTATGACGACTTTACAGTGAGCAAAATACAGTGAAGAAGGGGAAATGGCCTTTGCTAAAGTGTCAGGCATTATCTAATCACAGTCCCTTGAATTCTACATTATTAGTATTCCTAGCTTCCAGATGGTTACAATGAGTTGTGGAGAGTTTGAGTATCTTGAGGAAGGGCACAACTCCAAGAAATATACAGCCTTATTCAAAGCCAGGGTGGCAGATTCTAGAGGCTGAGATGTCCTAGTGCAACCATAACCCCCATTTGTGGAAAGTTGCTGGTGTAGACTCCAAAAAGTATATTTTCTTTAATGTCTGAGGCATAACCGCCTCACCTCCCTGCCTTTGCTATTACACCTCCCTCTGCCTAGAATTTCCTTCCTCTCTTCAGTGAATAACTCCCATTCATCTTCCAAGTCTCAGCACAAATTTTGTCTCAGCCATGAAGACTTCTTCCCTAATATCCCTTCCTTACCCCAACTCGAGCACAAATAATAACTATTTCATAGGTGTCCTAGCAAGCTTGAATGAATTCCATTGCACCTCCCCAAATCCTCTAGTTACTTATCATTAGTTAGAGAAAACAAAAATTCCAAATTTTTCATCTTAGCTGTCAAAGCCACCATGTGGCTCAGCTTGCCTTTCAACTACACCTTGGAGCCTGGCCTCATTTCTCCACTCAAAGGAGAACAGCATATACCCTTCCCCACTCACAGCTGCGTCTCCTCCCTCCAAGCCTTTGATCACATTATTTCTCCCAAGAATGGCCTCTCCCCTGCACCTCGGTGTGTCTACCTGTGGCATCTCCTCAAACTGCAGCCAAAGTTCCCAAACTATATCCTCATCCTGCTGGAACCTGAGAGGGGGCTCTGTATTTATAGAATGAATGCACAGCCTCTTAATCCACTGTGACATCCTGTATGTGTCTGAGCCACCTACCCAGAGCTCATTTCATACAAGGCTCCCAGTGTCATCCATTGCCCTTCCCCAAGTAGGTGCTTGAAGCCCATTTGTTAAATGAATGGGTGAATGATGCTGGTTGAGGATTGTGGATATTAAGGCAGGATCAGAGAAGTGATTAAACCAGGAACACATAGAGGCTCAGTAGATCTTGGAATAAGATGCAAGAACACGTTTAAATAAACAACAGTGAAACCAGGTGCACAGTTAAACTACTTTGCCAGCAACAATTTTGATTCCATTCTCTAATCCAGTCTTCCAAGCAGCCAAAATGTTTCTCGGTTTGAAGTACAATCATCTTGTGGGAATCCTACATTTTTGTAACATATGACATTATTACAGAGAACAGACAAATACTCGGAAAATTCCAGAAGCATACCACTGGCGAGTTGCAGACATTGCTTGAAGAAGGTGTCAATACCACCAGCAAATGGAGATTCTAAGAGCATTCTTTTCTTTGATGTCTATGGCAGAGCATGTGCTGTAACTAGAAAGTATAACTCTGTTGATTTGCTGACGCCTCTGCAACACCTTCTGCAGGTTTTTTCAAACAAATAGTAAAAGGTCTGCTATTTTCCCCGAGGACAAAGTTAACAATGGTGGTTGTGAAAGTCTTGATTTAAATTGTACACATGGAGCATTCACAGATACTTAGCACGATTCATTACGACAGTTGTAGAAGCTACTTTGCAAAGGCACAGAGGAGTGTTTGACTTACATAACTATGTTATCTTCTTAAACAATAACAGAAGGCTAGGGTTGTAGCTCAGTGGTAGAGTGCTTGCCTAGCAGAGGCACTGGGTTCAATTCTCAGCACTACATATAAATAAAGAAATAAAATAAAGGTCCATCAACAACTAAAAAGCTTTAAAAATAAATAAACAATAACATCTTTCACTGAGGTTGCTTTCCTTGGCATACAGAATAACAATGGAACTTCTCAAAGCCAACGCCAAGCAAAACTGGGCAGTAACGGAGGGAGACCTACCCTTGAGCTCCACCAGACTATTTTGTGCTTTAGACACACCACTAGCTTCCATTCCCCTGGGACCTGATGGTGGTGTGGTCCCTTCTCCCAATCACCCAACCTATTTTTAGGAAAGATTCTATACTTTGCTAAAATTGAAGTGTGAGTCATTTGGGGGAATTTAAAGGATTTCTCTACTATGCATTCTTGCATCTAGCAGGGATCAAAGTCTTAAGCTAGAGTAATGAAGCTCTAAGAGTGGATTTTAAGCATGAGGTAGGAGTCGTGTTCCCCATTCCATAATAGATCATCGTTTCCATGCAAAGGCACAACCAGGCACACATAAATGAAAGGTGATTTTTTTAAAGGTGTTTTCTTCACGAGGTACCTTTGTTGTTTCTTATCCAGCTTCCCTGTTTCTCCCTCTGTCTGGGTAACCTCAGCCCCACAAGTTGGTACTCCTCTTAGACTTCATTGCATATATATGTTACTCTGGTTTCAAGTGACAGGAATCCCATTCAAACCATCTTAGGAAAAAGAAAAGATTCATTTAACCAAAGCACCAAAGGCAAGGGTTGAAATTACCTGATGGTTAAAGTTTAACCTACGAACACTCTCTCAGGATCATGATTCTGTCTTTTATTGGCATTGGTCTCCTTATCTTCCACTCTCCCCAATATTAAGGGACATAGTTTTATAGTTCCCAATTTGAGGGGGGAAACTGCCCCATCTTGGATCAGGTCAGAGAAATCTGGGCAAGGACATGGGTTAGTCAGTTCAGGTCATAGGCTCAGTCATTAGCCCTGTTGCTGGAGTCTAGGCAGATGTGGCATGGAAATTGTCATCTCTGTGACAACCCTTTAAGAAGTGAGGGCATTACTTGGCCCTCTGAAATTGTTTCTTTCTCTACAAGATGAGGAGAAGGTCAACATTAACCTGATATTCAAAAATCCTTTTTCCTTTCATTCTCTTTGTCTCTTTTACATGTCCTCCTTCTCACTAGAAGGTCAAAAAACATTGGGAGGCAATAATGACCTCTTTGCCTCAACTCCGAGGCTCTCTAAATGGAGAAAGGGGTGTCCCTCACATAAGATGGCAAAGTGTTATAGTTGACTAAAATCAACACCATTTATGCAGCATGGTGTAAGATGGTCACTATTTCAAAATTTGTCATGCATCCCAAAGTTAGCATTTTGCTTGAGTAAAAAAAGAAGCAGAGTGGGGAAAATCAACTGGGAATTTTCCTTTATGCCATTCTGCTGAGAGCATGAAATGATGCTTATATAACTGGCTCCAATTTAGATGTAGCCCAGTCCAAAATGGCTAATGTGTGGTGACATTCCAGGGAATTCATCTATTTCCACACTACTGAATAGCCATTCTTCCTTTAAAACCTATATCAAATGTCATCTTCAATGAAATCCCCCTCCTTGTGTCCCTGCCAACAAAATCCATCATTCTCTGTCTTTTCCACACTCCCCTGTGATGATCTTTGGCCATGCCCACATTTCTCATTAGACCCTCAGTTCACAGAAGGCAAGACCATACTTCATTCATGTTTGTTCAGCATCAGGTCTGTGGAGTATCTATCTGGGCGACTTGCTCTCTTAGGATTCAATGATCTGTGATATTGGGCAAGTTGTCCATCTTTTCTCAGTCCTTTTACCTTTAAAATAATGATCACACACCTAGTCCAGTGTATTAGAGGGAAAATTAAATGAGATGGTGAATAGCTAAGTGCTTGGCACAGGACTCATTGGATAATAGGTTTGTATTTGGTTTTGTCTTATTTTTAAGTTTCCAAAAGAAACAGGGTATGACAGTCCCCAGACATCAAGAATGGTGGAATGAGTGGCAATATAGTAAAACATTTAAAAGCCTAGGATCAAATCCCAACTCAGCCACTATCACCTAACCATGTGATTTTTAACTAATTTTTTAATGCTGCAAAGCAGTTTCTTCATATGTTAAGATGATGTTGATACTCACCTTATAGATTTGAGTGGACAAAGAGTGTGTGTGTATATGTGTGTGTGTGTGTGTGTATAAAATATACCATAACATCCATCACATAGTAGACACCTTATAAAGGATAATACTTGCTTTCATATGTAATGAAAAATGAAAAGATCTATGCAAGATTACAAATCCTGTGGATGAATCTACATTCACAAAGGCAGTGGTTAATTGCCTTCTGGTGAGCTAGACCTGTCTTGAGGCAGCAAATTACCTTTTCTTTCTTTCTTTCTTTCTTGAGGTTTCCAATGGGATCTACCTATTCTAATTTAATAAACCTCTTTGTTTAAACCACATGCTTATAACCAAGTGTATAGTTTTCATGAATACTCAGGCCCTAACAACATGGGGAAAAAAGACTGGGAAGTGTGGGTATCTGTATGCATTCATTGGAACTGATGCCAACCAAACTTCCACAGTTAATTGTGTCTTAGCAATTTTTCCTGGAAAAAAATAGTTAGCAGGCAGGCTTGCTAGCTATTGTTTGGCCTTTGATTATTTCTGACTCTTGAGTTTGTATTGTTTACAGTGGAGTTTCAGCAGCAATCACATAATGTATGGAACAAATGGAACACTCCTCCTTTCCCAAGCTTCACTCCCCTCCATTCCAAGTTAATCAGTCCATTTCCTTCCTTGTGGTTTAAAAAAAAAAAAGTTAAGATGAAGATGCACATAATGGAAGTTTACTCTTTGGAAAAGCACACTCAAGCCTGGGGCTGAGAGTATATGCAGCAGCAACCAGGGAGGAGGCAGTGAGCTATTAACTCCCGAAGACTTTTTTGAACAGGATATGACAGCTCCCAGGATACTGATGGTCTTTCTCCTTTCATCTGCAGGTAATGCAGGTGGTGAAGGAGCAGGTTATGAGAGCACTTACAACCAAGCCTAGCTCCCTGGACCAGTTCAAGAGCAAACTGCAGAACCTGAGCTACACCGAGATCCTGAAAATCCGCCAGTCTGAGAGGATGAACCAGGAAGATTTCCAGTCCCGCCCGATTTTGTAAGTTACCCACTTCTGACTTCCATCTCCCTGAAGGCTCTAACATACCATTTCTATAGTGAGTGCCAATCACCCAAATGAGCTGTCGTGACCTCACTAGGGAAGGTCAACAGAAGACCTTCCAAATGATTTCCAATTACGTAAAGAGGTCTTGGCAGCTCCCTGAGGAAGGCCTGAGCAGGTGGGCTGAGCTGAGGGGGTAGTAGGGTCAGGTTCTGGCAGAATGGATCTAAACCAGGAGCTGGCCCAGTTACTGGCAATCCTCCAGGGATTTATAGCTAAAATGTTCTGGACTTTTTCTAACAGTTGGAGCAAATTTATTTGCCTATGAAACTGTATTTTACATAGGTGCCCTTTGAGTGGCAAGATGTCCCAACCTACCCAGAGTGAAACCAACCAATAATTAAAGCAGTGAACCCCAAAGTAGTGCATGTGTGAGTGGTGAGAGGCAGAGATAGAGCCACCCTCCCCTGCCCAGTTGGCAGTGGTTGGCATTGGAGCATCTTATATTAATGACCCTATGGCTATAACTTGCAGGCTCACAGTAAAAGGCAGCAGACCCCCTTTTTATAGGACTTTGCATAAAATGTCATAGATAGCTTGTACAAATTTTCATGTATGTTCGTCTTTAAAATGTTCTGAACCTCCAATAAGAGAACCGTTTTGCTTGCCTCATCTCTTGCCATGTCTTTTTCTAAGAACTCTGTTTTTCTACCCTTACATTTTATTGAAAAGAAAACAGAGAATGGGTAGGGAAGAGGAAAGGTGTTTGACATTAATTCTCATCTGTCCTCAGAAAAATGGCCCAGCTTCTTCTGAATATGTATATGTGTGTGTGTGTGTGTGTGTGTGTGGTGTGTGTGTGCACGTGTATGCCAACTCATACCACAGGTGTGATTCTGGAGCCCATCTTCAACTCAGCCTCACCTCTCTGTTCCTAATTCTTTCTCTTTCTGCACCTCATTTCTTCCTCTCTTATATTTGGCATGTTTAATGCATGGCAATTTGCAAAGCATCCTTCATGCTATTTCATTTCCTTGCATCCCTATGAGATGGGCAGGTCTTGTTTCCATTCAAAGTCTCAGATATAGTCTACAAAGGTGACAGCCTTGCTGACAAGTGGAGATCCTGGACTTGAACTCAAGTCTGCTGATCCCTCCATGACTGCTTTGTTCACCCCATCAGAGTCTCTTTGCCATGTGTGAGACTGAAATGAGGCTAAGAAAGTGAACAGGTCTTAAGTGACAACAGCCCAACAGTAATAATACTGGGTATATGTTTGTTTCCAAATCTTAAGCACTATTGAAAACTGTAGAGTAGAACTACTGACTTTAGAGGGCATGGCGTTAGTCAGCAGAGAGCTTTGGCTAGCATCCCTGTAAACCCCGTCACACCCACACTGTGCACCAGCCAGCCTTAGTGGAGGTTAGGCTGCCGGGGTGTTGCCTTGGCCCTCAGCCAGAAGATGGCAACAGCTAGAAACATGAAGGGGAAATCACTTGGAATAAGTGACTGGCTCCTTGCAGATGTGAGTTCTCATCTGCAAAGAGGGACAGTGGTGCCTTGGCCTGTCTAGGTCCCACATTCCTGAAATGCTGCATTTCATAGCATCAGTTTCAGCAGATGTGCTACACAAGGACACTTTATTATGCTTTTGACAACAATTCTTAAAACCTAAAGGGATACTTGAGGAATCCCTTAAGTGAAAGCCAAGTGATTCTAAATTAATATCACTTCAGTTAAAGCCAAGTGATTCTAAATTGATGTTTGACCATGATTTTGTTCCAAGGAAGAATGTCAGCTGTGTGTCCAGGGTGAACACTTGGCTCCTGCTTTGCCTTCATATTTTCAGTTCCCAGGGTTCTACCTGTCACACTGGGAAGTTTCTTTTCTTTTGTTATAAGAAACTCTTACCATTACGTTGGCTCTGTAAGGGGAAGCAATACAAATAGAGGAAATCCTACAGACATAGCTTTTGCATCATTGGTGGGTGTGAGACTGAAAAGCACCACAGCCCCACTGGAGCTTTGATTATATACAGCTGTGGTAAAATCATAAAGAGGTGATAGAAGGTGAAGCACTTCGACGGGAAGTTCAGGGATCATTCTCCCAGTCTCTGGAACCAGCAGGCAGGAGCCAGGGTATGTTTTGTCTATTTCAGTGCTCTACTAGACAGGAAAAGTGAAAACAATCGGGCCAGAAATACACCTATTCTGCCCATCTGCATCCTCCCTAAAGACTGGCTGGGTACGTCACTCAAAGCTCACCCATAGCTAACACAGACCTGATGGTCTGGTCAGGTATACAGTGTTCAGTGTTTAGGGCCTATTACATGTCAGCCACTCTTCCATGGGTTGATGATTCAGGCACAACTCTTGCCCCCATGAAGATTATATTTCATTGTGGAGAAACAGAAAAACGTGGTAAATTAGATGTTATCATGTTAAGAAGGAATTCATTCATTGAGTGATGAAGCAGGATAAGGGGAATAGAGAATCTAGTTTTGCAAAGAGTTTAAGAGTAGATCTGTCTGATTAGGATGGTAAGAGATTCAGGGAGCATGCCATGTGGGTATTTGGAAGAAGGGTATTCTTGGCAAAGAACCACTGGAAAGGCCCTGAGAACAGATCAGATCAGAGTGTTCAGTGAATAGCAAGGAAGCCAATGTGGCTGGATCAGAATAAGTAAGGGGGAGAGAAATAGGAGGCAAGACCTCTAAGATACACAGGAGTCTGATTACATAGGGTCTTGTTGGAAGCCATTGGAGGGTTTTGAGTGGAGGACTGACATGAGTGCTTTACTGGGAACAGAAAGTAAGGAAGCAAAGTTTGGAAATGGGAAGATCTTAGGAAGCTCATTCAATAATCCAAGCAAGAGGTGATGAGAAGTGATTAGAATCTTTACTATGAACTTGATATATTTTGAAGAGGACAATGTTATTTTCTGATGGATTAGATGTAGTTATAAGAAAGAGAAGAGTCAAGGATGAGCTCAAAGTTTGAATTTAAACAACTAAAGGACAGCCAGTGGGCAGAGTGGGTGGAGCAGATTTGGACAAGGGGATCAGGAGTTCAGCTCTGCACATGTCAAAGCTGCGAGACATCCAAGTAGGCAGTCAGACAAGTGAGTTTGAAGTTCATCAGAGAGTTCTAGGTTAGAAATATAAATTTGGAAGCTGTCAGTGTAAAGTTGGTATTTGAAGCCATGTGTCAGTTATAGAAAGAACAAAAGATGTTCAAAGACTAAATCCTGAGTCCTTCTAGTATCGAGACAAAAACAGATCAATTTCTCTGAAACTGACACTGTCAGTCAGCCCAAAGTCCATGCAAAGTGGTTCTAGATCAGGGACCCACAAACTATGTCTCTTTGGCCAAATGTGCCCACATTTATTTTTGTAAGTTAACCACATGGCCCACAAAGCCAAAAGAATTTACAGTCTGACCTTTTACAGAAAAAGTTTACCAACCCATGTTTTAGATGAACAGTGGGGAGTAGCTCAGTGGACAGACTCCGGGTTGAGGAAGGAATTCACCTGTCTAATGATGCTGTCTGTCTTCTTTGTATTGTAGTGGCCTCTTTGGGGCTGGGCATGTAATTGTTTTCCAGAAATGGTGCTAGTTTGAATTCCTCTTCACACATTCCTTTACCTTCCCTCCTCCTTTTTTTTTTTTTTTTTAATTTACAAATCCTTTGGATGGAATTAAAGGAATATCTATCAAAGCAAAGTCACTGAACCCATGACCCTACCCTCACTGACCCCAAGCTAACAATTTCAAAACCCAGTTACAGCCCATGCTATTATTACCTAAGTCAACCAGGAGGTCAGATCTCAGCCACAGAAGCATATTGTGGGAATTAATAAAGTTTCTTAATATGTGTGAATTTTATAGCTCTGAGTCCATTCACAAGAAAAGAAGAAGAAATCAGTTAGAAAGAAACTTTGGCTCATTTTCCCTCATTACCCAATCAGGTTTTGGAGACTTTGGAGTTAAAAACAAAAATTAAAAATACTTGGTAACTCTTTTTTTAAAATTGATTTTATTTTTTTTAATACAAGACAGAGGAATGCATTACAATTCTTATTACACACATAAAGCACGATTTTTCATATCTCTGTTTGTATATAAAGTAGGTTGATACCCAATTCGTGTGTTCATACATGTACTTTGGATAATGATGTCCATCACATTCCACCATCCTTGCTAATCCCTTGCCTCTTCCGTTTCCCTCCCCCCCCCCTCCTGGAAACTCGTATAGCAACATTTTCACTTCTGATAGTGTGTTCCCCGAAGATGGTTCTGAAGCATGCCATGACAAGAATATTTGAGTCTTAACCATCAGTTAAAATTACTCAGAATTCCCTCCCTTAGTCTCTGCACCTTTCTTTCCTTTTTAATAACTCAACTATAACTCAGTGAAACTACTACTTAAAGACACATCTATAACCTAAGAGTTGCTGAAATTTGAAAACTCATTCTCCTGTGGTTTCATCCACAGGTCCCATCTCATCCTCTCTCCCCAGTCGCCTGGACTTAGAAGTCGGTAGCGGTGATTTATTGCTGTGTGTGACTGTTCAAGCAATTCCTCACCTTCTTCATTCAGTTCAGGGTTCATCAAAGCTTCAATTTACTGAGTCCATTTTACAAAAGCTGAACGCTGATGATAAATAGTTTTATAGTGATCTGAAAGCCCGAGATGAGACCCTAAGAGACCTGTGCAGAGAAGCCTTTACAAATGTTCCACGCTGTATTATTACTAAGGCAGAATTTTCATATTATGCTTTATAAGTATTCACTTTGAACATTATCAAATGATAAGAGGTTTGAAGCCATTTAATCATCTCCCAAATATGTATCAGTGCAGTACTAGAATACCCTGTTAGATGGCTGAATCCTTTTATGTACATCTTTTTTCTTTTTGCTCATGTTTAAATAGAAGAAGTTTGCAAGAGGTAAACCTGAGTCTGTACCCTATCCTACACTTAAACTCCATGACCTGTTTCCCCATTGGTTATATGGGAATGATGATATTAATACCTGTCCTCAAAAGTTGTTTTATTTAGGGGTGTGTCAGTTAATTGCACGACATGTTAGACTCAGAGCAGGTGCTTGCAGAGCATCAGCACCTTCCCCACCTGGGCAGGGCATCAGGTGAACAGGTTGTGTGCTATCCAGTGTCAGGGCAAGTGCAAAGTCAAAGCTGAAACTGATGAGTATGTGGGTCTCGACTACAGTGTAATATAGGCATTTGGAGTGTTTGGGCTGAGGAAAGGAGAGAGGGTCACCAAAGCAAATTCAGTGATGCCTTGCTTTCCCACCCAGTTTTGTAGATGTGCTACAAATATGTTGCAAGTAAAATATTGATAACAAAATTCAAAATTCAAGTGTAAGCATATGAAATAAATATTTGAAGACAAAAAATTAAAATAGCTGAGAATGTTAGTAAACATGATGATCAAACTTTTTTCTTCCTTATCTGCTTTTATTTTAAAAATTTAAAGTTTTTTTATTTTTAATTGGTTCTTTGTAGATACGCATGACAGTAGAGTGTATTTTGACATATGACACATACATGGGTATTCTAATTAGGATCCTATTCTTTCAGTCATACATGATGTAGAGTTTCACTGGTCATGTATTCCTATATGAACATAGGAATGTTATGTCTGATTCCAGGAGAGATTCTTAACCCCATTTTACAGATAAGAAAACTAAGACTTAGATGAGCTATACAAAAACCTAATCATGTGCACAACCTGGACTGTAAGTCTAGTCTTCTGGCTTCTGGATCTGTGCTCTAGCCAATACTATCAACATGGCTCTGGGGGCTGGGCTCTAAATCTCCCAGTCCAGCTTCAGCTAGATCATCTTTGGCTTCATTAGACTGGAATACCAGGGTGCTACATAGAATTTCTATAAAGATGTCTTTTAGATCAGTGGAGTTCAGGAAAGGGATCAGGTAGAGGGAGGGGGAAGGAGAAGGGCTAGTACTGGGGTCTGAATTGAAGCTAATTATATTCCATGCATATATAATTATGTCAAAATGAATCCTAATGCTATGTATAACTAATATGAACCAACAAAAAAAATGAAAAAAATCTTTTTTAAAACTAGGAAGACCATGGCAGTCTATCATACTATCTTTGTAGCATAGTGCATCTGAAACTAAATTACATCCCATTAGCCTGAAACAAGATGCAAATAATGTTCAATTTATCCCATAATTATCTCAATCTCTATGGACTAGAATCTAGGACACTATTGTGGTTCCCACTTATGAGATGGAATAGAAAGCAAAAAGTGATCTATGTTTTGCCCAAGCTACATTTGCTGTGGAATAGCAATCACATAGTTTCTCAATAATCCTGTTTGGTCAATCACAAATGTAATCTAGGTGTTTACTTGCTGCAAGGGAAAAAAAAAAAGTATGGCCAGGGATTTTACTGTCTGGACCTTTGCATTAGTTATATCTGTGCCTTTGTACAATAAGACATTTCACAGGATACTTTGTTCTGGAAAAACACCACTAAAGCCACTGGTGCTTTTGTGGATAGACTGCAAATGTCAGAGACTCCGTAGAGTTATGGTGACAGATAACCCTGGCCACTGATGCGTAATAAATGATTCTCTAAAGCACGAACTTGGCAGGTCCTAGGATGGGTTCATGAAAGGGTGAGGTTCACACTCCCCTGTCCATCTTTCTATGATCCCTGTTGACCCATCCCTGTTTCTCAAGGTGCATGGTGGAATATGTGTTTATCCTCCAACAGGGAACTAAAGGAGAAGATCCAGCCAGAAATCTTAGAGCTGATCAAACAACAACGCCTGAACCGTCTGGTGGAAGGGACCTGCTTTAGGAAACTCAATGCCCGGCGGAGGCAAGGTATTGTTTGGGGACACTCCACACTTGAGCTAGGTCAACAGAGGCCTGCTCCTGGGGTATTACAAGGGCATGATATTGGTCTAGCAGCACTGTTCTCAGGACAGGAATAGCAGTCCAGGGAAGACCTTGTTTCCATGCCCACCTGGGGAGAACCAAGTCCAGAATTATCAAAAGGCTCTTGGAACTGAATAGCCATTCTTTGACATTTAATGATACAAAGTTGTTGGTGTCAATAATAACTAATGTGTACTGTGTACTTACCATATGCAAAACTTTTCTCAAAATGTTAGTTTTTCAGCCATGTGCCTCATAAAATTTCACCTAACAATGACCCTTATACATAGTGGTGGTCCCATAGGTTTTATCAGCTAGCAACATTGTAGCCATCTTAGTTTGTGTGTAAGCATACTTTATGATGTTCACACAATGATGAAACCACCTAACAACACATTTCTCAGACTATATCCCGTTATCAAGCAAAGCATGACTGTATTAATGCATAATTACCCTATATAGTAGCTATTGTGATGATGGCTTCATTTACAGATAAGAAAACTTACTACTAAGGGGTGAAGTAATTTACTCAAAGTCACAGAAGAGCAGGGTTCATCTTCCAAAGCTCCATGGTCCTTCCTTACCATGACTCTGTGTGCTACTGGCACATCACCCACCACTGCATTGGATCTGCGAGCTTTCAGCATGGATGACCCTTATTCTCAAATATCCAACACAGATTCTCTCCCAGGTCAGAGGTATTTTATTTGGGGATATGAGTAACAATGAATTGGGTGAGGTAGAATCTATTTTCACAATTTTTTTCAAGACAGATTTATAAATTGTCTTTACAATCTCTGACCTGAAAATGTCCAGTCAAAATGGTGCCAGTAGACAAGATCCAATAGTTGGGAAGCATTTCCAGCTGTTTATTCACCTTGAACAGTTTCTTGCTCTCTTGATCTGCTGCTGATTGTTTAGTCAAAATGTCCCTATCATATTGCCCTAGAAACAAACCAACAGAAAATGAAACTGAAAAGTAAGGTTTGGGGAGAGGTAAAGAGATGGAGGAAGAGTCAGGAGTAAGTGAAGGCATTAACAGCTGTACTAAGGAGACCATTAGTTACAGCCCAGGAGAAACTCTGGCAGATATTTTAGAAACCTGATGGATTCCCTGTTCAGACACAAAGCTCACCACTAATGACCATCAACATTTTGTGTCTGTGTTAAACCCACCCCCTGGCCATTCTCTATAACTTCTCAATACTGAGTATTAAGAAACTTCGAAATATTTCAATGCTGCCATTAAAAATCACTTGGAGGAACTTTCAAAGGCAGAGCTTCCTGGAGGAAGGAAATTGTAAGATTCACAGTGAGCTTTACACTGGGCCTCAGGAGAGGAAAAGGAGAAAAATAATAAAAGACTGAGTTATAGCTGGGACTCTAATGTGAAAAGCAGTGGAAGAGGACGCACCTCTCCCATTCATCCACCGAAGGATGAGTTCATGGCCTCCTTACTCACTGCAGTTTTTCATTGGGCATCATGTCAGAATAACTGGTGTTCCAAGAAGACAGAGTGGCATGGTGGCCAAAGAACATAGGAACGAGGTGATTCAGCTTGCCTGCACCCCTGTCCAGCCATGTGATCTCAGGCAGCTTCCCCCTCAGATAACAATACCCATCTCCTAAGGTTATTGCAAGGAAGAAAGGCACTCCTGAATGTAGCTTTTCAAAAACAACACAAAAGACAGCCACTATTATTCTGGAAGATTATGTAGGGTTAAAGAAGTGAGCTGGGAATAATAGATTTGGTTGTAAGCCTCTTGGCTCTTAACCACCTCGGCATCTTCAAACAGAATGTCACCTCTAAGGGCCACAAATTCCCATCTATAAATTGGAGGACAGCACTAGAGGCTCAGAGAACTCAAGTAAGTCACGTGGTCCATTATATGCCCTGATCTCATTGCCTTTGGAAAAAAGCGATATTTAGGATTACAGGGCCCCCATCAAGGTGACTTAGAAAGTTTTTATTTATTTGACATTAGGCAAAGAGCACAGGAGTCTAGGGATGCGAGATAGCAAATAGAACAATATCACCAATTGCCTCCTCTGACGCCCAGGTAAAATCCTAATATTTAAAACTGAATTTAACCTTCCATTCTGCTTTGCTGTGAGACTTACCAGAATAATACTATTTCTAGATGAAATAACTACAGATTCTTTTTTCTTTAAATGAAAGTGTTCATCCCTTGTCTTGAGATTTTTTTCAACTTTCTCGAAATGAGCTACCTTATGAACAACAACAACAAAAAAATTAGCATCTAGATGATGAATTTATTATCTGAGCTCCCTAGGGAGCATGACCATCTGTGTTTAATACAAGATCATCCTTCCATGTGCAGAAAGGAAGGCATTTTGATGCTTGGTAAGTGGATTTGAAAATGGATGACTGCTTCTGTGCTTAAAAATAGGGATTCAAAATAGACTGTGCTGAAATTGGTTTCCTATCACCCATCAAAACATTCTGTTTAGATTTACACAGATTAATGAGAATGTGACGTAAAATCAACTTTAATCCCTTTAAGAGAGATTTGCTTCCACAGGGGATCTCGCACCTCTCTACCAGGTTACAGAACAGGAGTACATGGCCACACTCCCTTTAAGCTTGTCCCACAGTGAGGAGGACACAGATGAGTGGATTTAAGTAATTAAATTTATGGAGGAAAGTAGGAAGGCACTTCCAGTCCCACAGAGCTAGAAAGGGGAGGATCAAAGTGTCTTTCCCTATGCCACATTTGTTTGGAAGGCACCCTGGTTGATTCTTGCCCATTATTCTCATCTCATTCACAGTTCTGCTACATGGATAGTCTTATTCAAACAAGACAAATCTGGGTTTCTGGGAATACTAGGCGCATTAGAACTGGGAGGGAGTAACCCATATGAAGCTAGGTTCAAGTCCCTGCCTCCTCACTCAAGAGCTGGATGGCCTTGCTCTAGCTTCTCATCTCTGTGATTCTGTTTCCTCTCCTCTCAAGCAGGGATGCTGCTGGTTAACATCAAATAGTTTCAGGAGTTAAATAAAACTATACATGTTTCCGACTTAGTATGGTAATTCGCCATCAATCAAACATTCATTAATGATGTATATTCTTGCTTTTAACTTGTAGTAATTCAGAATATAGACTTTTAAATTCAGGAGGTAGAGTGGCTTTGGATGTCACATACCTACTTCTCCCTGCTCTGTCCTCACCATGGAATCTAAGGCTTTACCTTCTGTGTTCCCTGGACTCCCATAGAGGAGAGCAAAAAAAAAAAAAAAAGAAATAAAGAAATACCAGGAGTTGTCTGTGTTAAGGCCACTATTTGCTTCCTGAGAATCTGTAGTCTCAAGATCTGCCTTCTGCTTTCTATATTTCGGAAATTAAGGTCTTCCAGAATCACTTGCATTGAAATGATGTTAATAAGACTCCAGGGCTAAAGAGTCATCAAGAAATGATAACATGAAGGTTTACTTCTTATCGAGGACGCTGTCCATTTCAGTGAGCAGCATGACTTCTCTGTGTGCTAACATGACAAAATGACCTTGGAATTCAACACTGGACAAAAGTTGCCCTATTCCACCCTTACAGAACAGGCGTGCCTCCCCACTTGTGCCCACAGCCTTACCTGAGTCCTGTGGCCTAGTCAGAAAACCTAGAAGGAAACAGGATGTTCATGCACAGCACCATATAAACCCTCGGGGCATCAGGCTATTTCTTCCTCTATATTTGATGGAAATTTCCTTTAAATATTTTATTAAACATAACTGTAACTCATTTTAACAAAGAGGCAGATATAAATAAATGCATATTTTTCAAGTAAAAGCTAGTTCATTTTCAGGAAAGGGGCACTTTTCAATAAATCAGAATAATGAATGATCTCTGTTCCCTAAATGTGGAGGGCCCTGTAGTGTGGATGAGAGAGGCCACCATTGAATGGAAAAGCAAAAAGACTTGATGATTTATTGAGGCCAGCCAGCCAACCCGATGGAAGATGCTTGATGGATACTTTACGAGTTTTACTCATGTAGTTAGACTTATATGTACTTTACATGTGTTTTATTCATGCATTTATGACCATTACATAACAAATGAAGAGCAGGACATTTTTATAATTTGGCCAAGGCTCCCAGGTAATAAGTGTCGGGGCCATTGTGATTTCAAGGCATCTCAAGTCCTCTTTGCAAGTATTTAGGGCCTCTGGATTCACCAGCTGTGAGAAGAGACAGATGTCTCTAGGGAGACAGAATTCTGAATTCCCTGGTTTTGAACATTCAGTGAAGTGAGAAAGATTTGAAAGGTATGCTGACCTTCTTCTCTATCTTTAGCTATTTTTTTTTTTCCTTTTCTTGGACCAATAGAGAAGTTGTGCATCTCATCACCTAGAAGGTGACATTCTCCTTTGAGGGCATTGCTGGGTCCTTCTTGTTTTGTGACTTGGAATGTTTCCATCTCAGGCAGGAAGCAGTCCTTCTCCTGAACACAGTGAAACTTGGCATATTTTAGGTCAGCCTAGGATAAATATGAAATCCTAGTGGAAGTGCTCTAAGAATGTAGTTTGTATAAACTCTCTGCTTCCTGAACGCAGGATTCTGAGGCCTTGTGGGTCAGTAGCCAGCTCCCAACTGTGGGCTCCGTGCCCAAAATGAGGGTGTCCCCTGATTCCCTAGCAGAATTGATTAGGACTTGATTCTTGCTGTGCTTTCTGCCTCACAGAAAGGCCAGCATGTCACACTCTCCAATGGACACTATTATGTAGCTTGCCAAGTCTCGCCTGAAGATCTGATGACCAGCTACCTGTAGCTAAGTTAATTAAAGTGAAAGAAATTTTAAAATTTGTTTCCTTACTATGGAATAAAGCAGATATAGAAAATTTCCATCACTGCAGAAAGTTCTGTTGGACAACACTGCAAGGAATCTAATTGTCGGTGGTAATTAGCTCCATGATAATCTATGTGACTTTGGGGGTAGCTTTAACAGCCCTTCTTACCAGGTTTATGAGCTATGAAACCAACTTTTCCTTTTAATCCTTTAAACACAAACTCTCTCTCTCTCTCTCTCTCTCTCTCTCTCTCTCTCTCTCTCTCACACACACACACACACACACACACACACACACACACACACACCACGGGGATGGGGGGAGGAAAAGATTGAAGTACAAAATTGTCTCCATATTTTTGAGTTTAGGAATGGAGAGATGGCTATTAACATACTCTCATTCGTAATTGACTAGAAGACCTCCATATTAATGCTTATTTTATCCTTAAATGCTAGTAAACAATCTTTGATAATGTTCTCATCATTTCCTGCTGATTGCTTTTAGTGACGAAATCCACTCTTTTCTTTGCCCAGAGGGATTGAGGAACTAGTAACATCCTGCTGGGTTTTGAAAGGAAAATGCACATTTTTCTTAGCGTAAAAGAATCTGCAAATCAAGCTGCTGCTGGTAGCTGACACCAAAATTGTCTCCACCACCATGTCAGTGTGCTGTGCTGGTAGTAGCTGGCAGTTGGACTCTCCTGCAGCCCCACCTTTGAGATAGAAATGCATGGCGATGATGATTCTAAACCTTCCAAAACTGGACTCCAGCCTTCAACCTGAGGACCGTGCTGGCTGAGCACCCCTGTTTGGATTACTGGTCAAGGCAAGCTTGTCAGCCTTACAGCCCCCTTCTTCCAATGTTCTGTCATCCATCTAAGACTTCCTATTTGATGAAGAAGAGCTGAATACATCACTTATGTTGGTGATGCACAGATCTCTTTACTCTATCATTTTGGTAAATGACAGAGAAAGAGAAACTTGTATGAGAGCAGGATTAGCCAGAGGTAGGAAGAAAACCAGCGAAGAGTGGCATAGTATAAATCAAGAGACTTTAATCTCCTGAAAGGACATTCTGTCAGGGACATACCAGATAGTTATGGCAGAGTTCCAGGTGGACTTTAGTGTTTCTTTTAAATAAGCCTCTATGGTAGATTTGTAAGGAAGATGGTTGTTTGCCTGCTAGAACCCTGATAAAGAGTCACTGTTCCCTAATAGTTTATGAACACAAAAAGATATTGCTTGGGAGGTCCTCCCTTTCCTATTTTCCCTATAGTACATCCCAAATTCCTGATTTGTCTTTGTCCCTACTTCCCAGACCTGGGAAACAAGCATTTCTGTCATCTTTCTCTTAGCCAACATGAAAAACAGAGGGGACTCCTTTTCCTTGAGCTTTTCTATTTTCTCTCTCATGCCTGCCATTTGTTCTAATGATTTCTTGCTACACCCAGTAGAATGCTGTCTGCATTGCAGTGACACTATAATTATTTAGTGGATGAATAAATTTCTCCTGAAAATATAAGCAGCAAAGTGTTTCAAAGTCTCACAAGTGAATATATCTTACAGATGAGTGTGTTGTACAATTTACTCATATCTGTTTGCATTAAATTGTATGTATCAGTTAAATTTCTTTACTCCTCCCATCAAAATATTCTGATATAAATGATCTTTTATTGTTGTGCCTTGTTGACTCCTTGTCTTCTAGTACCACCCGTCACCCCTTGAGTTATCCCAGTTTGTAGAGAGGATTCCTAAAAGAACAGACTAAGACCTTATTCAATATAAGATTGCCTTCTCCAAGTGTCAAGTCTCACTTATTTCCTTCCCAATTTTCTGTCACTCACTTAGCCCAAAATCCTACCTCAGAGGTAGCTGAGGAGGAAAAGCCTTATGCAGCCAATTGTGGTCATCATGGGGCATGGAGACCAGATGAAAGGTCCTTGTGGGAAGACAGCCACCAAAACCTGTCATGCCGGGTTCCCAACAGCACATTGGATGCTCAGAAAAGAGAGCATCCTCCTTTGGAATTCACAATTCCTATTGTGAATTTCAAATCAAATTCTCAAATGTGTGCTCCTCATGGAAAACCAGTAATTGCACATTTGCCTAATTAAAATGGCTGTGAGATACTCAGGGAATAACTTCTCTCCCTTTGAAGTGCTCTCCCAGAAAAACAACCCTGAGCTTTGTGTATATATAATGTTGAAAACTGAGCAATTGAAGATGTTTTCCTAGCCATTAAATGACCTTCTCCACCATCTCAAACTTTTCCACCAGAGTTCAGATTCCTGTAAATATGGGTTGCCATATTCTGACTACACTCAGGAATTCTCAAGCCTCATTTGCACACTAAAAGGAAGATAGGAATCACAGAGGCACTCAGATTTTGTGGCTCAAGTTGGGGTATTTTCCTTGTTCGTTGTGACTTTTACTTCCATTCTTAAAATGTGTTTGACTATTAGAGGAAATACTGTTAAAACATGATTTTGCAGTGAAAGCAATTTTAGATAGAAAACCACTTTTCTTAAAATGTAGTGGAGAGCTTTTTTGTCAGAATGGTTTCAAAACAATTTGGGATTGCAAGCACAGTAATGAGGTGACTTGACCGAAACCATAGCATTATCCAGCTGCATAAAGCTACAAAGGGCTTGTAGATAACGGATGCTGTGTGCCCTGAGGTGCTATAACCCAGTGCCCTTGGGTCTTCATTGATAAATTTAGCCAACACCTACTATACAGTGTTTATATGCCAGGCACTGCATCCAAGGATTGGAACATTGCAATTATGAGAGGACAGTGGCTGTCAGCAGAGAGACCCTGACTTCTACACACTGTCAGGACCAATTAGGATCCAGGAGCCCTCTTTTCCCTTCTGTAATTGTTCACAGTACACCCACTAGGGCAAGTTGCTTACCTAGGGAGGAGGCAGATACAGGGGGATACTAAGGGGGTTGACATGTGAGAACCGGTAATGCCAGTCTAATCTGTGTTCATACAAAGAACATGCCGGAGCAGCTCAAAGGTCGAGAGGCCCTTCTGCTGAAATGATCAAGGGAAACCTTCCTGGAGGAGGTGGCGGGAGCAGAGCCTGTCTAGCTTCAGGAACATTGAAGTTCAAGTTCCTTATCAAGGGCTCTTATTTCCCCCTCCTTGCCTCACAGGTTTATTCAGTATTTCTTATTACCTTTGGGGGTTGAGGGGATAAAATCAAGGAAATTATTTGTAAGAATAATCCTAAGGCCTGGGTCATGCCCATTCAGAAAACTAAACTTAAGATATTAGGAAGGAGATGATTGTGTCTTTATTCTTTTGCTAAATTCCTGAATCATTCAAGTGAGCCTCTCATGATTCCTAGGGCCTGTGTGTATCACTAGTCCCTAGCAATTCATTCACTGGTCATTGTGTGCATTAGCCCCTGAAGGGTGGGGGTTTGTTATGTCAAGCAAGATGTGGCCTCCTATATGGTGGTAGTATTGACTAGGAACTGAACCCATTGTCTCTCAGTGACAATGCTTTGCAAGTGAGCTATACCCCAAGCCCCCCCCCCCTTTTTTTTTTAATTTTTGAGACTGGGTCTTATTAAATTTCCCAGGCTGGCCTTGAACTTGTGATCCTCATTCCTCAGCCCCCAGGTAGCTGGCATGACAAGTCCTGGGATTACAGATCATGTCTCTGCACTTAGCTCTCTCCCCAATTTTATCAGACCTAAGGAATGGTCTTCTGGGTAGTTACAGATACTGGTTAAATATACTCTGGAAACCACCAGGATTTGGTAACTTTGCAATAGTTACCAAATAGGACCAAGCAGGACAGGTGATACCTAAATATCAAAATCAGAAGGAGGCTTACTGCCTGGGGACTAGAATTCATACTTTCTCAAGATTTAAAATCAAAGGAATTATAACTTTTCACCTGTTCCTCCAGGTTAGAGTATTAGGAAATAATCATGCTAATATTTTTGAATACCAGAATCACTTATCCTATTAACTTGTGTTTTTCTCCACAGACAAGTTTTGGTATTGTCGGCTTTCTCCAAATCACAAGGTCCTACATTATGGAGACTTGGAAGAAAGCCCTCAGGGAGAAGTGCCCCATGATTCCTTGCAGGACAAATGTAAGTGGCTCTCTCACGTAGAACACCTGAGTTTTGGTTGGTTGTTTGTTTCTTAGTCACAATATGTTGTACAACAAAACTGTCTAAATAAGCCCTTTGAATTTGGTTCATCTTGTGCATCCACACAGAGAGTATAAATGGGATGCTCAGACATTGTTCCTGAAAGATATAAATTTGGAGCTCAGATATCTGCTTTTCACATAATTTATCCAGATGGATATTTCAGGGATCCAAAATAACATAAGCCTAATTTTGTCAACTGTCTTTTTTTAATGACCCAGAAGACTTTCACATAACTTACATGCTTGATCTCTACCATATTTATTCATGATGGTTTAATGTATCCCATAATGATAATGTAGAGCCAATGGCAGATTCAAGTATGGTTGAGTTGCTTCAGAGAAGTAATTCAAATACTTTGAAAACTTATGATGAATGAAATTCTATTATTTGCTAAATATTCCACAAGATATATATTACTTATGTTTATTTGCGCTTTTTTGTATGTTGTCTGTTTTAATATGCATGCTTTTGAAGAGGGAGTTATGGGAAGGATTCTTTTAGCCCTACACCAAACCAAGTGCAAGTTCAGTGTTAAATGCAGATTAAACAAAGCATTACAGAAACAATAAAATACACAAGGGTGATGATTTAATTTGGAAGAGAAATGAGAAAAAGGGAGCACAGCCTTGGAGGATATCTTAGGTAGAGAAAGCAAAGAGGGAGCAGTTAGGACATTTTACATAACCTCTAGAAGTTATACCAACCCTGTGGTGTTCAGATAAGCATGTCCCGGAGTCTTGAATCCCACCCCAACCCTATTTCACTCCTTCCTCTTGTTACCCCAGGGCCCATGGAAGTCAAATTTGGAATACTTTCCTTACAGCTCATGGCCATCAAAGACAAAAATAAACCATAAGTGAGAAACCTCCTGACACTTTCAGACTCTGGGTTGACATCTCAGGCAGATAACCTGGAACATTCTGTCTTCCTGCAACTTAAAAATGGGACAATCTGATCTTTGTAGTGTCATACAGTTCTTTTCCTTCCATAGGACAACTCCCTTCCTAGCCCACATCATTGCCACCCTAAAGCTGGGAGAAAGAAATCTGAAATCTGCTGCAAAGTCTGGGTCTGTGCCTTTGCATACCTACCCAGGGGGTCCTGGGCTTTTGCCTGTAGATGAGGACACTATGATCATAGTTCAAATATCCAGGATGGTGGTTCTCTAAGTGTGGGAACTTCTTAGCAATACAAATTATTAGACCTACACCCCCAGACCTGATGAATCAGAAACTCTGTGGTAGGGTCTGGCAAACTCTGTTTAAACAGACCTTCTAGGTGACTCTGATGTCCACACAGGTTTGAGAACTGCTGAGCTAGATATTTCCTGATACTCCACATAGTAAGTCCCTGAATCTGGCTTTCACCAATAAGTAACAATTTTTAAGTGAATGGCTAGTGTATTGCCTACTTTAAATTTTGTAAAAATGAATGTTAAAAATTAAAATCTGGGGTTGTGGCTCAGCAGTAGAATGCTTGCCTAGAATGTGTGAATCCCTGGGTACAATCCTCACCCCCACCAAAAATAAATCAATAAAATAAAGGTACTGTGTTCAACAACAACTGAAAAAAAAATCTAACTGAAGTTTCATATCACAATTTTTGTCACAAAAGAAAGGATACTTGATCACACACACACACAAAAAAAGGACCTAATCTTAGAATAATGGACAGTCCCTTCTGCTGGATAAATTAGCTTTATGAAAACATACCAGTGCACTCATTTCCCCCCACTTATATTAATTGATGAAAACTCACTGGTGAAAACTTGTGAACTAGGGACCATTCAGGGCTAGTAATTTGGAATCATTGCTCATCACTGTGGTTCAATGAAGAGTCCGAGGTTCTTAGAGGTCAGAGTAACCAGCAGCTCTCTGGGAGGACTCCCCAGCCCTATTCTTCACCTGCTCAAAACACAGAAAAAGTGATCTGGACGGGAAAATCATTTTATTTCACTCTTTCCCCTGTGGCCCAGTGAATTGACTCTCCCACTCACAAGACATGTTATATATCCTCATAATTACAGGGATAAAATCCACTTCTCAATCCTAGAATACTCATGTGATTTGGAGGTTTGCCAGCTGCTACGTACAGCACACCCGTTCCAGCTGACCAGTTGCTTAGGACATGGGCAACCTGGCTCCTACAGAAGGTTCTTGCATGTGAACAACACACAAGCTGACACCCCCTCCTGGGTTCATACTCAAGCTGATGCCTCCTCCACTTTACTTAAGGCCTCGCCTCCAAGAACCCAGATGGAAATGGCTTTCTGGCAGCCAGGAGTGCCAATGGCATGGACAGCCACTTTTCCAGGGTGGTTGCAGAGGAGCAAAGCCTGAGCTGCAAATCTCCTCACGGCTTTTGGTGGCCATGGAATGATGCTGGTTCTGGGAGGTTTCAGCAGTCCCTCCTGGCAGTGTCTCCAAAACGCTTGTTCCTTGTCCCTCTCTTTCCTCTGCTGCCTTGGAAATCCAGTAATATGAAATTTCAAAGCCCACTCCTTAGCCTGGCACAGTGATGCACACGTATAATCCCAGAGGCTGGGGAGACTGAGGCTGGAGGATCATGCATTCAAAACCAACCTCAGCAACACCGAGGTGCTAAGCAACTCAGTGAGACCCTGTCTCTAAAGATAATGCAAAGTAGGGCTGGGGAGGTGGCTCACTGGCCAAATGTCCCTGAGTTCAATCCCTGGTACCACACTCCCCACGCACACAAAAAAAGTCCTCTCCACAAACACTTCATCCATTGCAAGATAGGTTGATAATGAGAAGTTGTGAGTGAGTATGCATATGGGGAGTGTGTGTGGAGTGGGGGGTGAGATTGTATCTGTGTCCACCTGTTTCCCTGGCCTCGAAAACTGAAGTTTACTGCTTCAAGCATGCATATTTTATTTAAGAAAATAAAATATAACTAAAAAAATATAGCAAAAGTTACAAATCACAGTTTTCTTCACCTTGGTTACAAAATAGTAGGTAAGAAGGACCTACTCTTAGAATAAAGACAGTTCCTTCTGATGAATAAATTAGCTTTATGAAAACACACACCAGTGTCCTGGCTTGCATTTTGTTCCAATTCTGCATTCTGCCTGGAGCAAAATAGCTCCTCTCTTGGAGCCCTTAAAAGTCAGAAAAACTTATTCCACCAGGAAAATGAGACATTCCTTTAATTAATGTTAAGTGCCTCTGCTCTTGCCATGTACAATTGCCCTCTCTTAAGACTGAGGAAAAAATTGTCTTCCGCTCTTTGAGTTAATCAGGGCTGAATATTGAGATATTGATGAATCCAATAGTGTAATTGAATCCTCTTAATTCAACTAGCACTAGGAAAGATTGAGGGCCTGTCCTTGGCTGTCTTCTTCCCCAAAGGTTTAGGAAATCTCTCTTTTCATATGCTTTTTGTTTGCCAGGAAATGTGGTCCTTGCAATCCATATTTCCTTACATCCTTCTCATCCTACTTCCCTCCCCTCCCCAGGGTGGGGAGGGATTTATAGGCTGTCATCGTCCCCACTAGACACAGGGCTCTATTGCTTCCCAGCCATGCCCCAGGCCCCTCGCAGCCTCCTTTTGAAAGAATCTAGGCCAGCACTCCTCACTCCCACATCAAAGGGACAGGCAGAAAAGCACAGGCTGATGCCCTCCCAGAAGGAGATTAAGCCTGTCATGGTAGGTGAGGATAGTGCTGATACGGCCAGGCAAAGTGGTGCATTTGGGTCATAGAAGCACAGTGAGGGATTTGGGTCCCTCCATCTACAGAGAGAATGAACTTTGATTATTGATAATGGGAATAATTGCAAATGACCTTTGTTAAGTGCATATAATATGCTGGGCACTGTGCTGAGAGCTTGACATAAATTTCCTTCTACCTACATTAAAGAAGTAGACATTACCATCCTCATTTTACATCCTTATTTTTCTGCACCTTGGTTAAAAATCACAAGATTAGTAAATAGTAGAGCAAAGATCCAAATGCAGCCATCCAACATCATGGCCCAAATATTTCCCCATACTCTCTACTGACTAGATTAAAAATCATATGTGATCTTGGCTCCAGTGTTAGGAATTAATTCTTAAAGCAACCCCTCCCTAAGATAAAAAATGTTATAATTTCACCTTGCAAATGAGGAAGTTGAGGCTCTAAGAACTTTAGCCCAAAGTGGTAGAAGAGTAAAAGGATCTGGAATTCAAACCCTGGGTTCCTGATTCCAAAAGCACAGCTCTTTCCATCATGCTATACTGCTTGGCCAGCCTACTCAGGTTGGAGAGACCAGATTCTGCACTCAACTCTCCTGAAGTCATCCTGCCCCTCCTCTGTGTCTCCACTCACAGGAGCTTCTGCTATGGAGCTGTGTACCCAAGCAAGTGCTCAAGGCTTATCAGCTGCTTTCTGGAGATAGTTTTGCCTTGCTTGGTTCCCGGTAGTAAAACTGAAATTCTGTTCATCATGGTGTCCACATTTACTTTTTTCAGTGATATTTTTGTTTCAAATTAAAATTAAAGTTTCTTCCACAGATACTAGCAAAAAGTTTCCTAAACATGTCAGAAGTGACAACTATATTTGGGGTAGTGCTCAGCATGATTTGGGGTGCTGGCATGTTCAAACCTTAGTAAGAAATTACACCTTAACACTGGAGCATGAAGCACTAAGCCCAACTCTGTCTTCCACTAGGTATGTGACATTGTATAACTGATTTCTTCTCTCAAAACCTCAGTCTTCCCATATGTAAAATGGAATGTTGAATTAAGATAGTCTCAATCCAACTTGAACTGAATAATTCTAATAAATGAGGCCCTGTCTCAGAGGGTAAAAGTAGGTGCTTCTTGTAGAAGTGACCCTCCTGGTTCTCTTATCTCTGGGCCTCACCTCTTCATTTTGCTCCCATGTAAATACTGGCTTGGCTTTGAAGTCATAAAAATCCCCCTATGACCTTCTTAGAACATATATTCAAGAAGCATAAGGCTGACCCCTCTGTGTCTGCCCCTAGGACTAGCAAGGATGGCATTGTCAGTCCTTCCTAGGCTTAATCTTTTGGTGTATCTAAAGGAAAAAAACATGCAAAATGCAAAGTTACTTTGTATTTGGTTTTCTTTTGTGAGTTTCATAATCCTATGAGTGAGATAGCAGTTTATCTCTCTAACAAGGGACAATACATATTTAAAAAGATAAAATAGTGTACTTCCACAAAACCCACTGGGGAAGTAACTTCGTCCTTGAATTCTTCCCATTAGAGATGAACTCACCTCCATCTTCCTCTTGTCCCATTCCATACAATGAGTTTTCAAAGCCAACAAGTAACTTACTATTTGTAGATTGTGAACCCTCTCTATAATTCACTTGCCACGTAATATATTATACAAAAGACTTTCTACAATGTACTTGTAATCCAAACTTCATATGAAGCTTGAGGTTTATTGAATTGGTGTGCTAGTCATATTAAAAATTCACTTCATTATGCCCATTGAAATTTTAATCAACTTTTCAAAGTGTCTGAATCTGCCCTCTTTTGGTATTTGGGTATTGACTAGGCAGCCAGCTCAGCTACTAAGAGCAATAAGACTGATTTTTCATTATGAAAATGGATTTGAGGAGTACTGAAGTCAGAATTTACAGTCAAAGGTAGGTTCAGGAACCATACAGAGAACCTACAGCAAGATGCCAATCTAAAGGGGCCCAGGTAGGGAGACAGAAAAGGCATCTGAAGTAAAGAATTATAATACTCAGGACATACTGCATTGCCACATTTTGCTGTAGAAACAAACTATCCCAAAATCTCAGTGGCTTAAGCCCAACAAAAGTTTGTTTCTCATGTTATCTAACTTGCACCTAGGAACACAAGCCAATGTTTGCTTTGCCATCCATAGTTGCACCATCTGAATGAAACTTGTACTCCTTCAGTTTCTGCAGCTGGGGAAACAGAATAGAGAATGTGGGCTTTTTACTGGCTCAATCTAGACAAGAAGCACTTTCTCTTACATTTCATTGGCCAAGGCTAGTCACATGACCCCACCTATGTACAAAGACTATTGGGAAATGTAGTCTTTCATGTAGCCAAAAGAAGCAGAAAGGCAGGTATAAGTGAGCAAATAATGTCTACCAAAAGGGTCTAGAATCAGGGCTTCAGGATGGAGGAACCCATGAGGTGAGGAGCCTACAGAGAATCCTGGAAGGGCTTCTACACCCCCACTGCTCTTATGGTAGAGAGAGCTTGAGGGCTGCCAACAGATTTGATTTTAGTTTATTCAGAAAGCATAGCCTTCCTGTTCAGTTGTTTCAACATTCTTTATGTTCTGTAATTTTATATTTATCAACTTTACAACCAATTTTCTGAAAAAAAATTATACAATCTTTAACTGTGAAATCTCACATTCTCCTCCTGATTTGAAGCAGCATAAGGAATGGATCACTCAGAGATCCTAAATTCCCACCTTTGGTAAAGACAAGCTAGTCTGCATGTGCCCATAGATTCACAATCCTCGTGGGACTGAAGGATTAGTGATTGGAGAAGGAGGGATGACTTTGCATTTTTACCTTAAAGTTTCAAACCAGCCTCCTACTATCTTCTCTTGGTTGATTTTTAACAAAAGTTTTAAATGCAGAGACGTTTTCACATCTTTTCTTATCTTCCTCCACCTCCTAAGACATGAGATAACATCATTTTATCTAACTGCATTATTTTAAGAATTCCCTATCTGATTAAGGTTTCCTTTATTTCCGTTTAATTTCATTGTCTATAAAATAAGGATAATCTCACCTACTTCTTGGAATTGTCCCAAGAAATAATGAGATGGTATAGGGAGAGATCAAGGAGTGAGAGTTGAGAAGTGTTGAGAGTCAGGTAAGTTTTTTGAAATAAGGCTGCTTTCCTTCTTTATCCCAAACTTGGAAATTACATAAATGCAGATGCTCTAGAAAGAGATACTGACATGGAAAAAGCACTTGGCACTGCTCCTGGCACACAGAAGCCCTCTGTAATGACAGTGTTCATCTGTTGATGCGTTTACAATCACTGTTATCCATTGCTGCTTCTAATGCCATCACTTCAACACTCCTAGAATGGTATTTTTTTTAGTGTCTTTGTTTTAGTGAAGCAGACTTTGTGGACATAGTTCTTTCTCCCCACAGATGCGTTTTTACCAGAATATAAGAATGTGTTTTAGTCTCTAGTCCTGGGACACAGCCTGACTTCTCTTTTTTTCACCACTCTTCTTGTCTCTTTTTTGCAGTCATTTCTGGGAACAGCAAATGTGGAAGCAGACTCAGTGCTTAGTTCTGCTTCTTTATTGATGCTGAAGCTTTCAATGGTGTCATTACTTTCATTTTCTTTTATGAATTGCAGTGCCGGTGGCAGATATCAAAGCTGTGGTGACGGGAAAGGACTGTCCTCACATGAAAGAGAAAGGTGCCCTTAAACAAAACAAGGTATGATTTCCAAATTATTGCAAATAGCTCTATCTACACAGTACAGTCAGCGACTGTGATGTCTCAGCCCTCCTTTATAGCTCTGTGTGTGTGAGTGTGTGTGTGTGTGTGTGTGTATTATGTAGGGTCACATTCCTTTTTCCTTTCCTGATTCATTTTGTACCTCTTACCCTTACTCCTTCTCTCCCTCAGCACTTTTTTTAATGCCCACTATCTCTTCCATTCTCTCACTTCCCATTTACTTCCAACCCTGGGAATTGCCCTGGTTCTTCTTATCTGGCATCTCCAACCTCCTCTACACATCCCTGTCCATTCTGGGGCTTCTCTTAAACTTTAGTTTGTGTTCATTCTCCCTTCCCAACTTGGAACCACAGCAACCTTGCTGGGGGAGTGGGGGTCAATAGGGCCTGGAAAAGGCAGATACCAGATGACTCAAAAAATTGCAGAAAACTATAGGGACCTGGTATCATTCAACATTGTGGAAAAATAGTCTGTGAAAAATCTCAAACCCAGATGAAAGGAGGAAAATTTCCCAGCTTGTTATATTGCTTCAGCCTCTTTCCCATTGCACATTTCTCACCACCCCTCCTAGTCTACCGACCAGCTGCCACCATGATAGATAGTCCTTATTTCATTACAGAGGGTACAGCAGGGGGCATTATTTGGAAAGATGGAATAATTTTCTTTGTCCCCAGTTTGGAGGGATTTGCTTTCAGAGGGGCCATCAAGGAGCCAATCCCTTTCTTATACTTCTTGGCATCTTATGATATATATATATATATATATATATATATATATATATATATATCTCATATATATATCAATGAACAAAAGTATCTAGATTTGTCTGGCTGCTCTAGACACTTTGGTGCCAAAAGTGTCACATGGATCAATAAGTTGCTTCTTTATTTCCAGCATCAGTATCTAAGAGGAAAACAATATCACATACATCCTTATTAATCAGAATTAAAATAAATGGTCTGTAATTTCAAATGTTGTCAGATAAAGGGGAATCTAGGTCTTTGTGAGATGACCCTATTTATATTTAAGGAAAACAAAACTACAATGAAATTATCATTCAGTTTAATAGAAGGATGCAGATGCAGCCAGGGAAGCTGATCACAAGATGTTTGTTTCTTAAGTTATGTGTGTAACTCTTCCCAAGTCCATGTGTATTCCTCCTTTAGCAAGCCCATCAGAACACTGTCATATAATGTACTTAAAGACAAGAATAATGATGTAAGGGCATGTCTCAGAGGCCAGGATCTGTAGATCACCAGTTATACAGCACCTATAGCGATTTCCATGTCTCTCTTTGCCATGATGTGTGGGGACAACAGGGATTGTGCAGCTCTTCAGATTCCAAAGAGCATCCTTAACTGTAGCAACAAGGTCCCCGCTTTCATGATTTGCCTCCTGTGGCACTGCCTTCCTGTAACACCAGTAGGGTTTACCATATGCTGTGCACATCAGTGTTCCCTCTGCAATCTCAGAGAGCACTGTCTCTGCTCAGTTCCAGCTAAGGAGCCCTGGTTATACAATGTTTGAAGCCTAGCAGAAAACTAGAGGAAATTTACAGCAATAGGAGTCTAACCCAGAGAAGGCCCTAGCTGGCCATGGGACAACCTGCCACGACTCAAGCATGCTGAAGAGAGACAGAAGGAATTAAGTAAAATAGATCAGAGGGACTTCCTGCTTCATCCCCAACATGTAAAGAGCTTGAAAACTGTCACTCCCATCCTTATAGTAAAACAAACAAACAACCACAACAACAACAACAAAAAAAAAACAGTTGAGCAAACTAGAAATTAACAACTTTTCTTGAACCTTTCAGAGAGCTGAAGATGCAGGCAAACCATCACCCTGAAATGTAGACTCAGGGTCATCAAGAGGGTCACAACCAAGATCTGTTTACCTGGAGCAGAATCCATCCACTGGATTACTGTTCCTAAACAGTAGGAACACTTGTGATACTTCAGATGAATTTCTTCAGGCTTAATATAGACTCATATTGAGAGAAAGAAACTCCTAGAGGTTCCATTGGCAAGTGGGGTATACTTCCATGGATTTCAGAAACCTCAGGAGGTTCTCTCTTTGAGAAAGATCCCTGACAGTCAGGGATGGGAAAGAATAGTTATTAAATATTCCAGAGCCCCTTTAATTAAAAAGTCCTAATTCTCCAGGCCTTTTTCCAACTAGGGACAAGGAATTTATCTGATTTCATCCCTATCTCAACTGCGGGGTTGGAGGTGATAAGAGACATAGTCAACAGCAATCAGGGTCTAAAAGAAATTAATTGGGAATTTTATAGCCAGGGAAAAGGGGAAGGGACAGGAGGAATAAAGGTATACTACTAGAGAAGCTATACTATTGGAAAACTGACATCCCCAAGACAAAGAGCCCCTAAAAGATTGAGATTTAATTGGAAGATTATAGAATACTATATATCTTCCCTATACCTCATTGCCACATCCTCAGACTCCAAAGTAATAATAGTGGATTGTAGATGAAAGATCTGCAAGATACTGCCTCTCTGAAGAGAGTTACTTAGGGAAACCAGAGACAGTAAAGGACACAAAAACAATGACACAAGAAGACTTTGGAGGCTCTGGCACTTAATAACTATAACAAATGTAAACATAACCCAGTTCCTTGCCAATTTAGCATAGGCTATCACTCTAAGGACCTAAATATCTTATTTCCTATTACTTGATAGAACATGTCTATATTTTAACAAAAAATTAGAGGCATGCCAATAAAGAAAAAGAAAAAGAAATCTGAAGAACCAAGCAATGATAAAAACCAGACTCCAGTATGACATAAATATTAAATTGTTGGGTGGGGAATTTAAAATAAAATGTTACAGGCTCTAATGGAGAAAAGTAGATCATGTGCGAGAACAGAGAGGTCATGTAAGCACAGAGACGGAAACTTTATGAGTCCAAAGGAAAGTCTATCAATTAAAAACATTGTAATGAAAATGAAGGATGCTTTCAGTGGGCTCATGAGTAGTCTTAACATGGTTGAGGGAAGACTCCATGAGCTTGAAGATGAATTGAGTTGGTAGAAACTTCCTAAATTGAACTGCAAAGAGAAAAGAAAAAATCACAACAAAATGTCAAAGAACCATGAGACATTTGCAAAAGGCATAACATATGTATAATTCCAAGAATAAAGGAGAAGAAAGAGATTGAAACAGAAAAACTATTGAAGTGATAATGGTCAAGAAATTTCCAAAATAATGACAGACATCAAACCACAAATCCAGAAAATTTAGAGGACACCAGCGGGGATAAATACACCAAAAAAAAACCCCACACTTAAACATATCATTTTCAAGCTATAGAAAACCAAAGGCAGAGAGAAAAATTTGGAAGAAGCTATAAGGAGAGAAACACCTTACTCTTCAAAGACAAAGATAAGAATTAGAGACAAGAATTAGTTTCTTCTCATAAGAAACTTGCAAGCAAGGAGAGTAGATTGGAGCAGATGGTTGAAAGAACAAAGCCCACTTACCTTGAATATTAAATCCAGTGATGTTACTCACATATAAAAAGGGAAAATAAGGTTTTTTTCAAATAAACAAAAACTGAGATAAACTTGGTGACAAGAATTCATTGTCAGCAGACCTACTCTGCAAGAAATGTTAGAGGAATTGGTTCAACCAGAAGGAAAATTATAAGGATGAGAAACTTGAATCTACATTTGAAAGGATAGAGTATCAGAGAAAGAATAAATAAAGGTAAAACAAAAATATTAGTTTTTATTGTTAACACATCGAAAAGATAACTACTCATTGTTTAAGGTTATAATAGTAAGCATGCATTGATGATTACAGCATATGGATAAGTGAAATGAATGACAGTAATTAAAAAGGGGAAGGCAAAAAAGAAGAAACAAAGAACAAAATCAACAAATAGAAAAGAGTTACCAACACATCCACATTAATCTAGCTATATCAATGATCCTTTTAAAAATAAGTGTTCTACTACATCAATCAAAAGATATTGTCAATTTTTTTTAAAAAAAGCAAGACCTAACTGTCTGCTGTCTACCAGAAACCCCTTGCCATATAAGACTAAGATAGGTTAAAAGTACTAGATAGGGATAGACATACCATGTTAACACTAATCTAGAGAAAACTGGAGTAGCTATATTAATTTCAGGCAGAGCAAACTTGAGAACAAAGAAAATTATCTAGGAGTCAATTCTCCAAGAAGACATAACAGTCTTGCACATATATGAATTTAACAAGAAATTTTCATAGTACGAGTCATGAAACTGATAGCATTAAAAGGAGAAATAGACAAATCCATTATTATATTGGAGATTTCAACATTCCATCGTCAGTAATCGATAAATCAAGCAGGCAGAAAATCAAAAAGTATATCGATGACTTGAACAGCACAATTAATCAACCTGATCTAATTGACATTACTAAAATAATCCACCAAAGAAACAAAAGACTATACATTCTTCTCAAGCTCACAGGAAACATTTGCCAAGATAGACCACATTCTAGACCATAAAATATATTTTAAACTTAAAAAAATAACAATGTATATTTTCAAAACACAAACTAAAAATAAACAGCAGAAAGATAAATTTTAAAAATCCCCCAAATATTTGGAAATCTGACAGTTAACTTCTAAATAACCCAAAGTTTGAAGAGGAAGTTTCAAGAAAAATTTCAACATGTTTTAAACCAAATAAAATAAAAATAAAACTTATTGAAATGTGTGGGATGCAGTAAAAAATGGTGCTTATGGAGAAATTCATAACATTAGATGAATATGTGAGAAAAAATAACTATCTCAAATCATTGAAGTTTTTATCTTAGGTCACTAGAGAAGAGGAGCAATTTAAGCCTAAAACAAGCAAAAGAAAAGAAATAATAAAAATTAGAGTAGAAACCAATGAAACAGAAAGCAGGAAAATAGTAGAGAAAAATAACAAAGCAAAAGCTGGGTCGTTGAAAAGATGAATAAAATTGATTCTCT